GCAGAGCCGGGAGCCGCCGTCGCCGCCGACGACGACGACGATCGGGCACAGGCCAGAGCCATGGGCTTCTAGTGGATGTGGGGGTCCCGGGCGGGGGCACTGCAGGCTGAGGGGCGTCTGCGATTGTTCTCAACACCCCTCCCCCACCCCACCCTGTGTGTCTGTTTGTCACTTGCAGCTGAAGATGGAAAGAGCCAGGCGGAGGGGAGGCGGCGGCGGCCGCGGCCGTGGAGGCAAGAATATAGGGGGCTCTGGCCTAAGCAAGAGTAGACTGTATCCCCAGGCCCAGCACTCTCACTACCCCCACTACGCTGCTTCAGCCACCCCTAATCAGGCTGGGGGCACAACCGAAATCCAGGAGCTGGCCTCCAAACGAGTGGACATCCAAAAAAAGAGGTTTTACCTAGACGTGAAGCAAAGCTCCCGGGGCCGGTTCCTAAAGATAGCCGAAGTCTGGATAGGGAGAGGCCGGCAGGACAATATCAGAAAGAGTAAGCTGACCCTATCCTTGTCTGTGGCAGCGGAGCTGAAGGACTGTTTAGGGGACTTCATCGAGCATTACGCCCACCTGGGCCTGAAAGGCCACAGGCAAGAGCATGGCCACAGCAAAGAGCAAGGTTCCAGGAGGAGGCAGAAGCACTCAGCACCCTCCCCGCCAGTCTCCGTTGGGTCTGAAGAGCATACTCACAGTGTCCTCAAAACAGACTATATAGAGAGAGACAATAGGAAATATTACCTAGACCTAAAGGAAAATCAGCGGGGTCGCTTCCTAAGAATTAGACAAACCATGATGCGGGGAACCGGCATGATAGGTTATTTTGGCCACAGTTTGGGCCAAGAACAGACTATTGTCCTCCCAGCACAAGGAATGATTGAGTTTCGTGATGCCTTGGTTCAGCTGATTGAAGACTATGGCGAAGGGGACATAGAAGAACGAAGAGGTGGAGATGATGACCCACTTGAACTCCCAGAGGGGACTTCTTTCAGAGTGGACAATAAAAGGTTCTACTTTGATGTGGGCTCTAATAAATATGGAATTTTCCTGAAGGTAAGTGAGGTGAGGCCACCTTACCGTAATACTATTACTGTTCCATTCAAAGCTTGGACAAGGTTTGGGGAGAATTTTATCAAGTATGAAGAAGAGATGAGGAAAATTTGCAACAGCCATAAAGAAAAGAGAATGGATGGCAGAAGGGCCAGTGGTGAAGAACAAGAATGCCTCGACTAGAGTGAAATTGAACTCCATCAGGCAAAATTTAAAATCATAAATTGGCTAAAAGTACTGATCCATAATCATTTGAAGAAGTTTTTCCTCTTTTTTGGCCCTTTGTTATTAGTAATACCTCTAGTAGTTTATACTTCAAGAAGTCTGATTTTCATGTTATGTTATGCATAGATCACTATAATTCTTATGGGAATTCCAACCTTCCCAGAGCTAAATAGTTTAGCTGCTTCAACTGCTCCAGACTATTGAAGTATGCAAATCAGCACAAAATGTGACATTCTGACCTTCTAAATATCATAACTAAGATTTATATTGCACTATGACATAATCCTGAAAAAAGATACATATACTTATTATGGAAGTGTGATTTTCTATTTAACAAATTTCCAAAACAGTATTCCATTCCTATATTATTAAAAACTGCTAAGCTTACCTGTAGGACAGTTACCACAGAAACAGAATCTTATATCAAGTATCATCATTATATTTATTTATAAAAGAAAAAATAGAAAAATATTGTCCATTGGATAATAATATTGAACAGTACCATTAAAGGATCAAATCTTATTAGATAATTAAACCTTTAATATTCCTTAAGAATTAACTAGAGTATTCTATAATTTTCAAATTTTGTGGTAACCCTACAGTTTACAGTTGCCATATCAAAGCCATGGGAGCATTTTAATTGGGTATCCTAAGCTAGTTAAAATCTTATCTTCACTTCTGTTTGTTGTACCACATAGTTGTATTGATTTTCCAACTGTTCAGGAATTTCATTTACATTACAATTGAGTGGGAGGCTTCATCCAGTGGCTTTGCTATGGAAATTTTGGTGTTTTAGCATTTCGTGCTAGTTTGAAGATTGTGATAGGTTTATCCCTAAAATATGTCATGAATTCAAGGTATTATATTTTATGAGTTTTGTTTTAACTACTTCAGAGGGGTTGGTCACCAGTTATCTAATATAAAACTATATCTGTAATAATATACTTCAGTAGTGCTTTTGGAGTTGCCACCCTTAAAACCACATCAAGCTTCCAGTATAAACCAAACTTTTACAGGTGTTTTAATTCCAAAAGGGGAAGTAAAAATATTCTTCCTAAAGACTTTAGAATACAATTTTTTTCCTGGGAAAATATTATTTGAAAATTAGATTCGTTGTAAACATATTTGAAAGGAAAATTCAGGCATTTTCCAAGGTGCTCTTTAAGGTACTTAAAAGAGGTTTACTTTACACAAGACTCATCCCTTTACCTGTATTAAAAATTACTTTCCAGAAAGTGCCACATCAATTTTTCAACACCTAAGCAATTTTTAAACAAGTGGATATAGTGTATATGTGTACCAACCCAACTTGTATTAACTGAAATTTCATCTGTTAAGCTTCATTTTATTCTGAATGAAATTGTCTTTTATCTTGGCTTTATTCACCTCCCACATAGTAAGTTCATATAATCATGTTCTAAGAGCCAGAACACTGATTTCAACCCCCAAATATAGCTCTCATTGATGAGAGCTGGCTGCATGGATTGAGGTCAGAATGTAGCTCTTTGATAAGCTATAACTCAAAATTATTTAAGTTTTTTCCTTCAGACTTTGTCTCCAAATGCATTTAAGTTTCTAAGAAAACTTTAAGGTATGAATTGAGAAAATTTTATTGGTTTATGTCACATAAGAACAAGTGATCAGTAACTCAGACATATATACTGGTATTGGTTTGCAGATTATATTTCACATTTCCTCAAGCAGTATGAGGAATCTCAGTTTATTATAATTGTGGATCATCTGGATCACTATGGAACAACTGAAGGTTAGAAGATGATGTTAATAACTAAAGTTAATAGCACATGGTGGGTGTTGAAACAATAAAAGTAGCAAGGATTTTTAAACTGTAAAATAACATAACTTTGTAGGCTTGCTAAAAATATAGTTTTTCGTTTATGAAGGAGTGATGTGCACTTGAATTACTGTACTACTGATTGTTATTGCTGCCCATCATAGTGCCTATTAATAATCAACCTGTCAGATTTTGGCAAACTGGAGCTGTGAATATTACAAGATTTGATTATTCCTATCACTATTGCTATGAGTGTATGCTCTCTCTTAAAACCTTCATTTTAAAAATATTTATATCCATTAGGATTAAATGATTTCTTTTTTGGTCTGATAAGATTTGAGTATGTGTGTGTACATATACATATATATGTATATATACATAATACTATGTCAGACTTAAATATTTTAATTCATTGTATATAAAATTATTAGTTTAATTTTGCTTTAATTATTTAAGTAAGGAATTAGTTAAGCAGCCAAATTTTCTGCCTTGTATGTATACTTCAAAGTTTTTACCATCTCAAAGCTGCAAATTGGATAGATGGATATATACTGGCAATTGAATATACTCTTAGAATCATTAAGGCTTCTACCAGTCCTTTTGTTTCACTTTTTCATAGTTAACATATTCATTGAGAAATGAAAATAATGCTATGATTTTTGATACTAAAATTTCCCAAGAATTCATTAGCCATAATTAAGCATGATCCAGTTCAAAACTCTGGTATTAAGACATGTAATGCCATGTATCTTATTAAATAAGCTACTAGTCTTATCTGTGCAATATATATTTTATTGTCATTTTTAACGTAAATGGAGCTGCAAGTGTACATGGTATTCCTCAAAACAATAGGATCTTTGCCTTGAAGACATTAAACTCTTAAGGCAACTGGACGTTGAAGTAAAAAATGAGCATTGAAGTTAGTAACCAAAATTACTTGTTCACTGCATAATGCTAAAACACTGATGATGTTTGCACATAATAATCCAGGCATAATGTGGTACAGACTCAAACTGTAATAGTATAAGCTAATAGTATGAAATTTGGAAACGGGTTCCTCATAATTGTTGGCAGTGTGCTCCTAGCAATTGAAAGCAGCACTAATTTGTTGCTTATATGCAAAAGATGCAATGTATTATAAAGGTATTAAAGTTCTGCCACATTTTATAATTTTCCTTATTAAAGCCCCAAACTGCCATGTCCCTTAAACTTGAGTCAAACACAAGCATATTTGCACTAAAAAGAGCATGGCCAAAAAAAAAAAAAATGACAGGGTGGAAAAGCTAGTTGGAACCTCTTGAAAAAGTTGGTTCTAATAAGAGAATTTCACATTTGTCTATTTGAAAGCTATATGGTCCAGGCAGACAATCTGTCAGTTCACTAATTTAATAATGCACTTTACCTTTTGTATATAGAAGATGTACATTTATGCCACTTGACAGGTGGGATGTGTTCCAATAACTATGTAGTTAGAATCTGTAGGGTGATCTCTTGCATGAATATGTTTGTGTTGGAACTGTTGATGTAACAGGTTTCCATTAAATCAGTGTAATGGAGAAGGGTAGAAGATGCTTTTGAAATAAATCCCAATACATTTAACAAAGAATTTTAAAGTAGAGTTCATATTTGTATTCTTAAAGACTATTTCTAGTCCAGATTAGTATTGCAGTTCAGACTGTATCTATTTGAAGACACACCCTCCATAATACTCTGAAAGTTAATTCTGAGAATTTTTCCAAATTAAAAAAATTTTAATGATTCTGTTTTATTCTGATTCAAGTAACTGATAATAAGAACTTGATTCTATACTAAAGTTACAAGTATGGGTTAGCTGATATTTTTTAAACACTCAGACTAAAGAAATAATGTTTCAAGTTAAAGAAGTGCAAAGAGCCTAATAAGTTACTAAAATAAATACAACAAATCAAAATTTGCAAAAGTACTAACCCTTCGCCAACTAAAGAGGGTATTGGAGGAATTAGTTATCCTTCCATCCTAAAAACTTCCTAAGATGTACATGTGAAAAGTAGATAATTGTTGCTTAATAATAGGTTGTATGTACTTTACTGAAAACACTGTGTACTAACAATTCATCAAAAGTGTGCTATATTTACTGCATTCATTTTATATCTATAGATAAGAATACATTATATAGTCATCCTATCTTAATATAATCATGTATTTATATTGTAATTTTGCAAATATTTTCAGTAAAATAAACATTTATCTCAGCTGCACAATTTGAAGAGGATGAAATTGAAATACACCCTCAGATACTCATTTTTAATAAGCAGCTACCATTGAAAGCTGATGTATGTATTGTCATTCCTTTAAATTTTGTTTTATAGTTATTTTAATATTTAAATGAGTAAGATTTAACTTGAATTTTTGAGTGGTTTTCTAAAAATAATTTTTTCATGTGTGAGATATTTTTGTCCTGCTTATTTCCAAATGTCTTTCACTGAAACTATGAAATCTTATTCCAAGCTTTATGTGAGAGCTTTGCTTAGTCACCACTTTAGTTTGAAATCGTCTTTACCAAAATACCAAACACCTTTGGCAGAATATTTAACAAAGAGAAGTTGACACTGATTCTATGCCTATAAAATAATGCAAGTATGATATTTATCACTGCCAGATAAGATTCTTAAAATCTTTCTGAAGATTCCTTAAAGATTTCTTGACTTTCACAGAGAAATGATGAATGTTGGCTAGCCCATGAGGGAATAAAGATACTAGCATGCTGTTGAGACAATCCATAGTCCACAACACTATAGCAATGAAGTACAGGAAAAATGTGTTTCCCAATTTAATATCAAGTGAATATTGTGGTTTTTAGATCACAGTAAATCTGTCATAAAGAAAATATACCCAAATTTATGTTAGGTAGGTTTTAGAAAAATAATAGTATATTTTCTTGTATGATGGAAAATATCAGCCTATGTTCTTACTTTGACATTACATTTTAAATCATTTAAATTTATTTTAGTAGTGGATTCTAATATTTTTTTAATAGGGAAAAATATGCATATAGTACAAAATTTAAATGCTACAGATGGGTAGACAATGAAAAGTAGTAACCAATGTTATTCAATTTCTTGTGTATCTTTCTAGAGTTACTCTGCATATACAAATGTTTATATACATAAATTATTCTTAAACATACAAATTAAAACATATACTTTCCCATACCTTGTGGTATTACTTTAGATCTGGCATTTAAGGGATTGTTTTTATTTAAATTTATTTAAATATCATACTTGACCTAGTTAACATGTCATTTAATTTACATTATATTATTATTACACCAACAGAATGTCAAGGAAATTTTGAATAAATTCCTTTGGTAATTACTTAAAATACAAATATATATATATATATTTTAATTTTTAAAATTTACAAATATTCAGATTAGACTACTGTTTTCTCTACCCTATTCTTAACCATCTTGCCTTTCTATATTCCTCCTTTTCTTTCCTCAAAAAGAAATTTTTGGTCTTTTTTCCTAAAGTAAAACAGTTTAGGAGTAGCAAGATATTAAATGATGTAACCAAGTGTAATTTTAAGCTAACTACATTCTATAGTGAGAAACACTCATATTAAAAGCTTTAACAAATTGTAATTTTCAGTTTTTACTAATCCTGTTACTATTATTTTTTAATCCAAAGACCTTGCCATTGTAAGAGCCAATGAGTATTAGAACTATATTGAAAGATTATGACTTTTGTAATCATTTGATTATTAATATAAACCTTTTATCTTAATAATATGAAGGGTATAAATGACTGCATCAAATCCAAGTATATGCAAAGAAATAACATTGGTCCTAATTGTTTAAAACATCATTTTTATTATTTTTTTTTATTAAAGAACCCAGTATCTGTCAGAAATCCTTGCGATCAGAAGGTGATGATTTGGAAAAAGAGTGAAAATGGAGAATTTGAGAGTTAAAAGTACCTTCTCCATTCTCTGCTGGAAGAATATTAAATTAATAATGTAATTGTATTAAAATGAAGTTAGCATTATTACTAAACCTGAAAATAAAAGCAAAATTACTTTAATAATTTCCTGAACTATCCCTCCCCCCGCCATATCATTTTCTTTTGATCTGGCTTCCCTACCCCATTACTATCCTGGGGATCTAATATCCAGGACCTCATGCATGCTAGGCAAGTGCTATACCACTAAACTACACCTCCAACCCTCAAGTATGCATATTAAGATCACTTTTATATTGATCATGAAAAAAATATTATCTGAAAAATTAAAGATCCCATACTTGACCCCTTCAATCTTATAAATTAACGTAGCCAGAGTAAAAAATACAAGCCAGCAGATGTGGCAGCTCACACTTAAAATCCCAGTGACTCAGGAGACTGAAGGCAGGAGGAATGCAAGTTTGAGGCCAGTCTCAGCAATTTAGTGAGGCCCTAAGCAACTTATCGAGATCCTGTCTCAAAAGTATAAAAAGGCCTGGAGATGTTGGCTCAGTGGTAAGCACCTAAGTACAAAAAAAAAAAAGAATACGATTAGAAATTTTTTTTAATGTGGATTAAGAAAGAATATTTTAATGAATTGGTATCTGTAAATTTTATAAAAATACTATAAGGTGGAAAATTGTAAGGCAATGATTTAACTTTTATAATAATTTTTCCATGATTGGTGGCATTATTTTCTGTTTATCAAATGAGAAACATATTATTAGAAGACAGGATGCTCATAAACATACTTAAAATGCATAAGAGAGTTTGATTCTTTTCTTATTTTTTATTGGTGCATGATAATTTACATAATAGTGGGATTCATTATGCCATATTCTTACATGCCCAGAACATAATTTAATTAATCTCATTCCCTAGTATCTCTCTTCTTTCCCTCCCCTTCCTCCCCCTAATCACCATAATCTGCTATTCTCATCTCTCTTCTATTATTTTTTAATTAGTGCACTATAATTATATACAAAAGTAGTATTCATTTTTTGTATATTCATACATGAACATATCATAATTTGGTATATTTCATTTCCCCTCTACTACTTCCCCATGCCCTTCCCTTTTCCCTCCCTCTCAATTCCCTTCCTCTTCTCTGTTGATATCCCTTCTATTTTCTTGAGATCCCCTTTTATCCCCCACCCCTGTAGTTTCCATATGTAAGAGAAAATACTTGATCCTTGGCTTTTTGAGTCTGGCTTATTTCACTTAGAATCGATCTTTTGATTATGAATAACTCATTCATCTTGATCATCATAATCATTGATTATCCTTTACAGAATCTGTAGGGTTGACTTAAAAAGTCTCCAGGCATTTATTTGTTTAAACTTAAAAATGCTGTGTTTGTATATTTCTCCTTATTTAAAGAAGGGGTCAAAAAGGAAGGTAAATTCACTTTCAAGAATGAATTTTGGCCAGGCATGGTGGTACACACGTGTGATCCCAGGAAGGTTAAGGGGGAGGCTGAGTCAGGAAACCAACAAGTTTGAGGTCAGCCTGGACAACTTAGACCCTGTTTCAAAATAAAAAGGGCTGGGGATGTAGCTTAGTGATAGAGTATTTACCTAGCATGAGCAAAGCACTGGGTATAATCCCCTATACTGCAAAAAAATTTTTAAAAGAATGAATTTTGCTTGAATTTAGGCCAAAAAAGTTACTAATTCCCCCATCCCTAGTTACGAGTTTTCCATATTTGTGTTTTCTGGTAAATTATGTTTTCCATATTTTACCTTTTTTTAAGTATCCCTTGTGAAAAATTGCTTATTCTTGAGGCCAGTGATATCCACCAGTAAATTAAGGTATAATGAACTAGTGCTGCTGCATCAAAGTTACTTTGTTATATGAAGAAAATAACTCATTTTAAATGGACTATATAGTTTCTTCCTTAATATTTTTTTACTTATTTCTAAGATTGAATAGCAATTGTCCGCCTTCTCACCTTCTTATACTTAATTTCTGAAAGAGCTGTTCTATTCACAGTTTTCATTTATCTAGGAAGTAGCAGGGTAAAGAAAAAGGAAAATAAACCCTAAGAAATATCTAAAAGTTAGAGTTGCTCAAAGAGGGGAAAAGGCTTCTACTGATTTTTGTGTTTATTGGACTAATGGTATAAATCTGATTTTAATCTGCTTCAAATCAGAATTCCTATAGTATTTCAAGTTACTATATTCAGAAATATTTAGCATGTTATTTTTTTAGGGAAAATGGTTCTGCAGGATAATACTCTTCTTCAGGATTTTACTTATTATTTGTTATGGATTTGATGAGAATTATTTGTTATGGATTTGATGAAGTTGTTACACAGAAGGAGCAAATAGAAAAATCAAGTAGTGGCTAATGATTTTGTTTGTATATAATATATTAATCTAACAGAAATGAGAGGAAAAGAGTCATTCTCAAAACTAAATATTTATTTCACCTTTAAAAGAGAGTCTCAGAAAAAGCAGTAAGACCTAATTCCACCAATACTGGACTGACTCTGAGTAAGTCATTTAACTTCTGTTGGGTGGTTTCCTTACATGAAGAAGGAACAACATTGGGCTAGAAGCTAAGGATCCCTCTTACTCTAAAACTTTTAAAATTCTGAATCATTAGAGTGTGGAAAAAAATTAGATGAAGTATATCACAATTGGAAAGTATAAGAGATTCTCTTTATATATTAAAAGCAACTCTAATAAATCTGAAAACTGTGATGATACCCAAAGGATTAACACAGCAATGCAGTTCTTAACATTTATGGATCTCTTTACCCAACACCAAGTTATTATGTACTAACTACAAATCTTACATATACTTTATTTTTTAAAAGAAATATTTTATTATCTATACAAAGTCTCATCCTTGGAATACTGTGTTACTGAAATATCCATGATTTACATTGCTAAACAGTAAACTACAACTGTGATTGTGGTGGTCCCTAAAAATTAAGTACTGCATTTGGTCCTTTTTTCTGTGATCATATTGAATAGCATACCTTTAAAATGATGTTTAACAAAGAACAACAGGAAAGACACTGATCTGTGAAATGTTGTTCTGTTTTAGGAGGACCTATAACTACTAGGGTTTGCAAAAATTAAACATCCTAATGCTTAATTGTTTAGTGTGGAAAAACAACAAAGTCTGATGATTGAGAAAGAGAAACAACACACAGGTTTTTGTGATGGAGGCATTTATTTAGGTACCCCAGTCCTCTGCTATACGATGCTACCATCACTGTCTATAGAAAGTAATAAAAAAAAAAAGGCACCTTTCTCCCCAAAGCTCTTTTTTGGTGTCTACTTGTTTATCAAACAGTTTTTAAGAGTAATCTAAGTGAATTTGAAATGGATATGCACATGTATTTTGATTATTTCAAAAACAAGTATATACATAAAATTCCATTACTGAAATATTCCATAAGACAAATAATCTTTGGCTAGTAGTATTGACAACAGCAATTTGATTGGTCTGTTTTCAACAAATTCTATAGAATGAATTGGCTGAGGTAGATTATTTTTTCTCTTTTCCCTCTTCTTAAAATAGCAGATACATTTTATGTTTTTGATTGCTTCTCTTTACTGCTGTTTGAAATCTAAGTGGGATATGAAAGAATAGTTTAGTTTGGCAGTTGCTGTTTTGCAGAGATTTTCTTCAGCTTCCTGTCAAACATTCCAAACAACTTTACCAAAAGAATGTTATCTAAATGCAAAAACTACCCAGCTAGTTGAAACTACAGAACCAGAAGACAATTTAGGAGTAAGGATAAGAATAAGTTCAGACACCTAGATTCAGAACATACTTTATAATTTACTGACTTACTTCAAACATCACTGCATTTCATTTCTAGATTCTACAGACTAGCAGTGTGATTTATGCCAAATGTTTGAATTCCAGTAGGAAAAAATCCATTATTGCTTAGTATATACTCCAAATGAGCTATGACATGCTATAGTCAGGTGTAAAAATAGAATCTGAAATTTCCATCAGTCTAACAATCTCTTTTTCCCTCCCCTACAATGTAACCTATTGGAAAGTGGTTTAATTACTCTCACCTCTACCAGAGCCCCATTTCATCATATTTCTTTCTCAGATAACAATTGGCTCATAATAAAGACTGGAGGGCTGGTGTTGTGGCTTAATGGTAGAGTGCTTACCTAGCATATGTGAGACACTGGATTCGATTATCAGCACCACATATAAATAAATAAAAATAAAGGTCCATTGACAACTAAAAAAATATTTTAAATTTTTTTTTAAAAAAGACCGGAGCTCATTTTCGAAATTTCAAAATCCATAGACTATAAGAAAGACATCCTGCTACTTAACTAATCTCAATACTCTTATCATATTTCTATATAATAATTTAAGATGAATAAGTAGAAAACAGATTTCACTTGGAATGATAGGAATTGGAAGTTCAGTTATTCCCCACTTTTCAGTACACAATTGATCTTCAGAAAACTATTTTTACTATCATGATTGACAGGTAATTTTAGAAATGAAAAGTTGCTCCATGATTTGCTTTTTTTTTTTTTTTTTTTTTTTTTCCTATCTTTGGTACTAGGGATTGAACCCAGGGCGCTTTACCAATAAGGTAGATCGCCAGCTCCCTTTCTTTTATTTTTTGTTTTGAAACAGGCTTTCCCTAAATTGCCAACACTGGTCTTAAACAAGACTGGTCTCAACCTCTCAAGCAGCTGGGATTACAGACATGCCACTGCATCTGGCTATCATGAGCATTTTTAAAGAGAAGAGGGTAATAAAAAGAAAAATCAATTAAGATTTGTTAATAAGTATTATTGAATACTTTGTACTAGGCATTTCTGGGCCACTTTTATCTACTATTTCTAATCCTCATAACAACCCCATTATCACTCCCATTTTCATGTAATTTCCAGAGGCTTAGAAACAGGTTCACTGTTTCAGAACTAATATGTTCTAACCAAAATAAACACCAAAGCCAAAGATTATGCTCATTCAGTTAAGCCAGGCTGCCTTTTAAGATTTACTGTGAAAATGATTCCCCTCCAACTCTAATAAAGCACAATCTAAACCCCCTGTCATTGTCATTCTAAATAAATCTGCCTTAGATTACTGGGAATTATTTTATCAAAACTACTCCCTATGCACAGGACTGTCACACCAAGAGACATTTGCTTATACAAGAATTTATTCAGCCGTTTAAAGTTGCTGCTAATAAATACAACTTATTTGATCTTCAATATAGTTTACAGATTGAATCTAATCCTGATTAACTTCCAAATAAATGCCAGTCATTTTTAAAAGGGATCAGATGATAAGACTGCAGATGGATCATTCCAATTTTATTTGTAAGGGCAAGGAAGAGACAAATTACTATTCGTTGTGGGTCTACGATACAAATGGCTATGTTAAATTATTGGAAATAAATTTTATCAAGATTATTGAGAGTTATGTTTATTTCACACAACTTTTTCCTGCCATCTTAGTGATTTCTCACAACCTTCCTGCCATGGCTTCCTATGTCATTCTGTTCCTTTTCATATTTAATTACCAAGTTTCCTCCTCTTTCTCTTAACTCCAAAATAAACTGGGATAACTGCTTTACTTACAGATATATATTTTTCTGCATTACTCCAGGACAGGACATTAGTGTGAATAAGAGCACGTCTAGGGTATGTTTAACCATAGATTGCTGGCCCTCAGCTCCAGAGTTTCTGTTCAGTAAGACTGGTAGGGTGGGGAGAGAACCAAGAATTTGCATTTCTGACACATACCCTGGAGAGTGGATGCTGCTGATCTGAGGACCATACTTTAAGAGCCACTGTTCTAGGCTGATGAGCTACAAAAGACAAAAAAGGAAACATTTTTGGTCAAAACAACTGTAGTATCTTGGTAAAAGACTCTGTTACTTATTCTGCCTTGAGAATTTTACAAATCTTAAGCAACTTTTTTTTTAAAACATTGACTAGAGTTTTTCTTCCCTTTTCATCCTTTCATCACATTTAACTTTCTGATTTCCTCTCACTTTTCTACAGCTATCTTGAGAAAAATCTGGTAGCATTTAATTATGAAAACTTACATGAAAAACTTACAATTTAAATGTATGGAGACAAGCATATTTTTAATTTAATAAGTAATTTTGGCATATAAATCTTTGTAAAGGAAAGTGAATAATTTTAGTAAATCTTAGTAAAGGAAAATAAATTGTTAACCAAGTTTAGTGAATATTAACTATTAGAACTTGAAGAGACCTGGAATTACTTTAGCCCATTAATTTTACATTTTGTGACACATAACCTATAGCTCAAATGATTCAGAAATTACTAGAATAGTGTAAAAATAGAATCTGAAATTTATTTCAGGGCAAGTAAACAAAATTTAAAGAATGCTTAAAATGCTAATTATCTCAAGACATAAGTGATGAGAAATATATAGCTTCAAAGCATATAGTATTTTCACCATCTTCCTATATCCTTCCTTTGCAGGATGGAGGAACTATATACTACACTGTAGATATGGTACTTTCTTAGATCAACAGCTGGACCCACTGCTTTAAATTTAGAGATATTTCTCCTGAGGATTCATTGAGCATATTTTTGAAAACATATCATTTAAAAAATATGTTTGTCAGCCTTGTAGATATTAGATATTTGTGTTAATCAAAATGAATAAAACCATGTTTTATATATAAATCTATATAATAAATATATAAGCCTCTTAATAGCTTTTATTCTAAAAGGGGATCACACCCCTTTGGAAATATTATATGAATACATACAAATTTGTCAGTTCTCCAAGTTCATTCACACACACACACACACATCTCTCTCTCTCTCTCTCTCTCTCTCTCTCTCTCTCTCTCTCTCGATCTCTCTCTCATTACTACCCTTCTAGTTTCTACTGATTAGTACTGCAGAACACTGAAGCATCCTTAAGTAAAGATTAACTGCTGACATAGAAATAGTCATGAACTCAAAAGGATCATTTGTAACTTTTTAAATTCACTAGTCTGTTTGCATGGAAGCTATGATATAAATTTAGATTAAAATTTTTAAGTTTTAGAATTTTGAGTTGGTGTCAGAATACAGATTTATAGTAAATTTCAGCTCAACATGAGTGCACACTTCAAGAATAAGACTTCCCTGTTTCTGTAATTATTTAAGGCAGAGACTAGGTATGAAATTACTATAGGGTATATAAGGTAATTAATAATTCAAAAAAGAATTGTTACTACCTCAAATTTTTTTTCAACTCAGACTCAGAATTTATTAGGAATAGTACTTGGAACTTTTGTATTCGGGTCTATGAATTTATGACTTTGAATAAAGAAGACTTCAAATTTTTTAGTATTAATCTGGAAACATTGCCAAAAAAAAAAAAACCCTTTTTTCCTACTCCTAGAAAAACTTGTTTTCAAATTTCCATGAAATTTACTAATTAAATGAAGTAGTTAAAAGTGTATTCATGCAATTTGCCCTGAAATTTTTTACTTTTTTTGAAGAAATTTTTCACTATTAATATTTTTTCAGAAAGGACTATGTGAAGGGGTTGGAATTATGGCTCAGTGGTAGAGCACTCGCCTAGTACATGTGAGGCCCTGAGTTCAATCCTTAGCACCACATTAAAAAAAAAAAAAAGAAAAAAAGAAACAAAATAAAGGTATTATGTCCAACTACAACTAAAAAAATGAATATTAAAAAAGGATTATGTGAAGAAATAAATTTAGTATTTATGTTGCTATTTCAAAAGTTTCTGCATATAGGTCTGTTTAAAAAGACAGATTGGAAAATCAAATTATTGGATATTGTTAAACTTAGTTTTTAAAACAAATTTTTAGTTGTAAACATACACAATAACTTTATTTTATTTATTTATTTTTATGTAGTGCTGAGGATCAAATCCAGTTCTTCACACATGCCAGGCAAGTGCTCTACCACTGAGCTACAACCTCAACCCCTAAACTTAGTTTTTATTTATAAAAATCCGTATTAAATTCTGTTCAAAGGTCAAAGCATCTATAATATTTAGCAAACTAGTTTCCAAGTAAATTAATTTTTTTTGGCAAATAATGCATGTGATGCTCTCCTTGTGAGTTCCAAGGCTTTGTAAAGCGCAAAAAGGTAATAGTAAAATCTAAATCCAGGATGTAGTCTGATCCAGTATAAAATTTAATTTTCCATGACAATGTCCACTGTGTTTCCTTGTCATTTCTTTCAGCATTCATTCTTTTGTGTGATACAGTTCAAGTGGGCAAATGATTAAATAAAAATTGTACTCCTCCACTCAAATATTATACACCTAATCCTTATCTATATGATTTTTACATAAAGTATAAAGAAAGCCTTGTCCTGTCCCCACTTTCTTGCCCTGAAGAAGTAATGGCAAATTGGTTTCACCATAGTTGTTACTACAGTGAATTAGCAGTCTTAAAGTGCTGTGTAGAGAATTTAACTCTGCATCTATAGGGAGAGAGAAAACAGCATTCATGCCAGACATTTGATATTTATCATCCCTGCTTTAAAGCTGTTAAAGTTCTTGTTGAAGCTCTAAAAATTTCAAGTTTAGCCAAAGAGCTGCTATACTCAACAGCACAAACTACCATGTGACCCACCTAGAAAAGTGTCTCTTCTAATACTTCAGAGATTGTTTTAACTTGACAGTCCCTCCTTTATACAGCACAGAATCTCTACTACGCCTCTGAAGAATCAAAGAATCATGACCATGATGATGTCATCAAGGATACCTTTAATCATTAAACTTTATATTTGCTTCTAATGAGTTCTCACCATTAAATGACATTAATTAATAAAAGGACAGCATTTTCTCCCCTTAAAATTTAGTCTAATGATACTCAGACATTACAAAATGTAGGTTCTGGTCCCTGTCACCAGAGATTCTGGTTTGTTCGGTACTGAATGGGGTTCAGAAATTGGCATTTTAATTGTCTTGCTCATTTTCATATAAATGTGGAACTTTGACTTACATATCATTTTTCCAACTGAAATTGCTTAAGTTTTAATACTGTCTCCATGACACCATGGGTGGTTGGGTTTTTTTCCGTTGGCAGAGGGAGGGGAAGAGGTTCCTGTATTAACAATGTTTAGGTCTCGCTTTAAACAGAGAGGCTAAAGACGTAAGTCCAGGTATTTAACCCAAGATTTTATACTATTGTATTGGCTAGCCTTCTAGTGATTACTGAGAATGCCAGTTTCTCCCCAACTCAAGCTGAAGTTCAAACTGTTCTTATTTGCCATATAACCACTGGTTACATCTCCCTTTATTTCACAACACAAACTTTCTGAAATTTCTCCAGCCTGAATCAAGTGATTGATTCAGTCAATCGACTGATTGATTGAATTGATTCAACTCAGTCTTTTATGATTTGACCCTTTAAATATTAAATAATGATTTTTCTCAATCTTTTATTATAAAATTTTTATTTCTTTAGATATAAACCTGTAATTTATTAGAAGTGAAATGATATCCTTAATCAATTTTTGAATGCCTCACTTCTAGTGCTGTTAATTTTTTTTAATTGTGGCCAAAAATACATAACATAATCAATCTTTTTAAAAATATGCAAAATGGTTTCTTAACCCATATCCTCTCAATAATAGTTTTTTTTTTGTTTATTGTCATTTCACTCTTATATAAATCTTATCTCCTGTACTGTTATAATTCTTACAGGTGAAAAACATTTTTACAATTACAAAGCAATTTGTACTTATATTAAGATAAAAGATCCTTATAAACTTTTTGATTGTAAGTGAAGGATATTTTATCCTGAAAGCTTTCTGTTGACTTAAGGGGAAAATAAGAACCTATTTTCCTGAGATCTGGAGGACTCCAAATGAATATTTATACTTTCTTGCTCATTTATTTGTTTGTTGAAGGTTGGAGATTAGAGTTACCAGAGCAAGTAAGTTTAAATGCTAGAATTTCTGACTTTTTTTTTCTGTGACTTTTTCCTATGTACATTCTGGTTTTCCCATAACACATAATTTATACTGTAGACTGGACATTTTTCTAGAATTTGACAATATCAGTGTTCACTAGATGATTTCAAAATCTTTGCTTAATTCAGAATCAAACTGTTTAGCTTTAAATAGATATATTAGATGCATAATTTGGAAGGAAATAGTTATAAAATAAAAATATTTTTCTGCACATGAACTGTTTCAAATATTATTTTCAAAATCATTGGCAGTGAGAAAAAACACCAAAAACATTTTTAAACTTATTTTTCAAAAGTTTTTTTTCAAAACATTTTCTTCTTATTATTAAAATTTTTCAAAGAAATCAATAAATTTTAAAATTCTGCAAGCAATATACATCTAAATACCCAAAAATGCTATCTTATGAGTATACTGCATATCATCTTGCCACAGGAAAAAAAAATTCTACCTTTTCTTGACCTTACTTACTTTGGAACTACTGCAAAAACTCATTGATCATGACCCTTGAATAATAATAACTGATTCTTCATTTTATGAATTTAATAATTTATAATGTCAATGTTATGAGTTTTCAGACAAAGGGAATCAAATTAGAATCATTTTGAATATTTCCATGATTTTTGTAATACTCAAATTTTTCTTTTAACACTGCTGGTTACTTTAAAGAGAATTCTTTATTATTCCTTTGATTTTCATTTAAAAATTAGAAATGTTTTCTTAGTAAGGAAGAGGGTGGAAATCCCATAAGTTGAAGAGATTTAGTGTAGAAGTTGTGGGTGCAACGGGTTCAGTAACATACTAGTCAATTACTCTTCTTCTTTTCAGTGCTCCCCTCACTATCTTTCTTCATTGTCTCCACTATCACCCTTAAACCACAGAAATT